CAGGGCACCTAAGAGCTTGCCAGTCCGGTTTGTGGGCTCCCGGCCTGAGCCCCACCTGCCCACATTAAAATATGGGTGTCGGATCGCAGGGATCCCGATTTGGAAGTTCAACCCCCCCCCCCCCCCGACGGAAGTGTCTCCCGAGGGACCCAGAGTCCCCGGCTCTCCAGGCCGGATCAAAACAAGACCCCAGAGTCAGACACCACCACTGTCCTCCCAATTTCGAGCCTCTGGGCCCCTGGGGAGCTGACCCCTCGCATCGGGTTCTCCAGTTTCACAACTGGAGAAGCAGGCAAAGTTAGCCGCGGAGTCGGGAAGCCCTCGGACTTGAGACTTCCCAGGGCTCTGGCTGGCCCGAGGGGCGGAGGGACAGGAGTCGGCCCCCCTCAGCCCGAGACTCCGCGCCCAGGGCCGCCTCCGCGCCAAACCGCGCCCTCCCAACCACTGGGGGTTAGGCCAGGTGTGGGGCCACTTCCGCCTCCAGACAGCCCCGGACTCCGACGAGTCCCCCGGCCTCCCGACTCCCGAGGGCCGGGACCCGAAAGTCGCGGGCTGTTTTCACCTCCTGAGAACCGCGCGGGTGTGGGAAGGGAGGCAGGGCCCCCGGGCCGGGCCGGAGCTGTGGGCACTAGCGCTCGTCGCCCTGGGGGGGGCGGGCCCGGGGGGTCGCCTGCGGGGCTCACCTTGTAGATGGCGGTGAGGTCCATGGTGGCGCGATCCATGGCGGCGCGAGCGGCCGAGGGGTGAGGAGTCGGCCGGGAGGGCGAGCGCTGAAGTCAGGCTGCGGTCGCCGGCCGAGCCCGGGCTTTTATAGAGGCGGGCGAGGGGGGGGGGGCGGGCCGGGGGGGCGGGGCCAGAAGGGGCGCTTCCCGGACGCGCGCCCCCAGCTAGGCCCGCCCGGCCCCCGGCCAGGACGCACCGGAGCCCGGCCCCGCGGGCGGCCGCAAGCGGGGAGTGCCCCGGGCCGGGGGGTGGGGCAGGGGGGACAGGGGGGTGTCGGCCCAGTTTCCAAGGCTGGAGAGAGCGGGGCGCGGAGAAGCGAACTGGGCCGTGGTGGGGGCAGGGCTCCCCGGGGAATCGACGCGGGCCCAGGCCAAGAGGGCGTGCGCGGGACGACGGCGGGGGCGGGGAGAGGAGAGAGCCGGGAACGGAGCCGGGGAGAGAACCGGAGAGAACCACGCAGGGACGCGGCCGTGGCGGGAGAGCCGCGCGCGCCCCGGAGGCAGGGAGAGGCGGGGAAGTTGGGAGACGGAAAAGACAAGTTAGAGACAGTCCCAGGGGGACAAACTCAAAAGAGGGGGAAGCGAGAGGGAGGGTCGCGTCAACTGAAAAAGCGGGGAGATGAACCGGGGGAAGCAAACACCGACAGGCCAGAAATCCCGTAGGAGCAACACGGAAGGGCGACCCAGGCCGGGTGGGGGATTCCGGGACGTGCGCGCCTGGCTCGGGCTCACTCAAACAGCCCAGGTCGGGAGACCTTGGTCACCAGCCCCCTGGCCCCCGAGACTCGCGGGGGCGGGGGGCCCCGGATCCCTGGCGAGGCAGGAAGGGGGCCCCTCGAGCTCACGCAGCAGATGGCCCCTCTGATCGGTACCCGCCCCCCAGCTCTGCTGCGTGAAAGTGCTTTACGGCCATCCACTCAAGGACGCGTTGTGCCCATTGTACACTCGAGGAGACCCAGGCCGAGTTACTGTTGTCGAACCTGTTAGTAAAAGTTCGCCCTCTGAGAAAACTCAAGATTGGAAAGGGCGGGGTGTGTGTGTGTGTGTGTGTGTGTGTGTGTCTTTTATTGCGGACGAGGGTTTGCCGCCGATGGAAAGTTGTTTGGAGGTGGAAGGAACGGGTCCCCCCCCCAACTGGTGGTCGCACGGGCGTCTTTTGGAGGGGGTGTGCCTTGAGAACTCCCAGTCTGCGGGGGTGACAACCCACACTGGCAAGGCCGCTGTGGTCGAGGGGGTGCCCTGCGTGACACTCGTTACAAAGGCCTGGGGAGAAAGTTCACTTTCAAAGGGGATCTCGGTGGGCTGGGCGCCCGGAGTGCAAAAACATGGGGGCTGAAGTCGTTGCCACGGGGTGCGGCTCTACCCAGGCGGAAAGTTGACTTCTGCGGGCTGCGGCCGCGCGCTGGGACCGAGGCGGAGACACTGCCCGGCGCACCGACCTGCCCCGTCGGACGGAGCTCGGGGGAATCCCTGTGCGGCGCGTTCTGGGGCCGAGGGGCCTTCCCGGCCGGTCCCGTGAGCTGGGCGGCTGCGGGCGCCTTTGGCACGGTTGCAGCCTCCCGCTCGCCCGTGACTCATTCGCAAGGGGCGGGGGAGGGGGGCTTCCTGGAAGCGGTGACGAGGAGGCTCGGCCCGGACGCCCGGGTTCTTCTCTTGTAACCAGGGTTTGTGTCGCCTGTAAACACAGCCTCGGGGACAACGGGGGAAAAGGGGGAAAGGGGAGGTGCCTGCCGCCCGCCTCCCGGCCGGGCTCCAAACTCCCGGGCCGCTAGTGGGATTACGGCGGTAGGGAGAGCGGGAGGTGTGTGTGTGTGGGGGACACCCTGGGGTCCCCGGAGTGTGGCTCGGCTCCGGCCGCGATCCCAGAGGAGTTTCGATTGCCTGGAGACAGGGAGCATTTCCCATCCCTGAGTCAGGCTCACCCCGTCCCCTCTCCTATCTGCTTAGTCATCGGCCCCGAGAGCCAGGACGCTAGGGATTGGGCGACGCTCTTAGAGGCTGGAGGGGGCTCTGCGCGGGGAAGGGCCGACCGCCACCCAAACGCAGGGGGTGGGAGCCAGGGCCCCGGGCCTCGCCCCCTCCTTGCTCAGATCTGGGGGAGGACCGGGCAGCTCTCCAAACCGCCTCTTTGCTCAGATCCCGGACACCAGGCCCCCAGCCCCTCCTACGTCGGACCCACCAGCCCGGGCGCCCAGCCCCCCCTCCCTCTCCAGCCCGAGCCCGAGCCCCCAGCCCCTCCTCCCTCCCACCGAGGAGCCTGGCTCCCCCCCACCCCGTCCAGGCCCCGGACGCCCGGCCCGGGAGGAAGTTCGGGGCAGGACTCCTCCCCGCTCCCCACGTAGCCAGCGGGAAAATCCGTGGCCCCAGCGGCGGCCGGGAATCCCCTCTGGAATGACGGTGGGGAAGGGGATGGCCGGGGTCCCCCGCGGGGTGCAGGGGGCAGCTCCCCGCCCCGCCGAGGGAGGAGGAAAGGGGCGGAAACCAGAGAGGCTAAAAATACGGCGAGCACTTCCGGCCAAGGGGGAGGGGAACGGAGAGCAGTTTCCAGAAAAACAAGCGGGGACGGGAAACGCGGGGGTGTGAGAGTCGGTGCGAGTGCGCGGGCGAGCAGGGGAGCGTGTACTCGCGGCACGTGTGCGCGCCCGGCGTGCCTGGGCGTGAGCGGGCGCGGCCGAGTGTGCAAGTGCGGGGCCAGCCGGTGGGCGGGCCGCGGCCGACGTCGTGTGTGTGTGTGTGTGTGTGTGTGTGTGTGTGTGTGTGTGTGTGTGTGCGCGCTGCGGGTGGGAGCGAGTGTGCTCCGGTGTGGCCGGGTGCACAGTGAGGGGGAAGTAGGTGTGGGACGCGAGTGTGTGCGCCCCGTTTCCTGCGTGAGGGCTGGGTACGGACAGGCCCGCCTGCCGCGGCTGCGCGAAGGGATGTGTGAAACCACCTGCCACCGTGCGGTTGACTAGGCTGCTCAAGCATCCCTGGGTGTGGGAATGTGTACGCTGCAAGTGTCTTCCAGGCGGCATTCGCGACAGCGTCTGACTTACATGAACTGCACGCACATCTGCGTGTAGCTCTGAAGCACTATGGGGGCTGGAGTGACCCCCCGAGGAGCGCGGGGTCAGGGGTCTGGCTGCCCTGTCTTCTGGCGGGAGGAGGATCTGTGCGCCCCCACCGGGAAGCCCTGTGCCTCAGCGTCTGCGGGACTCTAGGAGGCTGGGGCCCGGTGCGGGGTCCCTGGAGCTGTGTGTGCAGTGACCGGTGTTCCCAAACGTGTGTATCCTTGTCTGGGGGGAAGCTGAGAACACGGAGGCCAGAATCTGGTTGAGGTTCCCTCTGAGGCCCAGTCACAAGGCAGTGAAACTGGTGAACTTTGGTTCCTGACGTCTACAGCGCACATGACCGGGAGGGTGGCCGGTCACTGTTCGCCCCCTCCATGGGCCCAGCCGAGACACACACGCACACACTTGTACCTGAGAAGCGTTATCTAGCCGCAGCTAAGGCTACTTTCGATAATGTTGAGCTGAGCGGAGGGCTGAGTCAGCCAGTCATGGGCAAAGTCTGCGATGGGGTGAAAGATAGTGGGTTAAGTGGTGATTAGAGAGTTGTTTGTATATTCGTGTGGTTGGATTGTTCCTTTAGAGTCTGTTTGGGGGACTGTCACTGGGACGGAGAACCTGGGGACTCTGGGATTGTAGGATGGTAGGTTCTGCTGTTCTCTGCTGGGGGAGAGGGGGCCACCGGCGCCCATGTCCCCAGGGTCTGTTTTGCCCTCTGTGGCCATGCATCTCAAGTGCGCTCTTCCCTGGAGTGCGTGGTGGGGCACCAGGCCGTGTAATCTCCCTCTGGTCTGATGATCTAGTAAAAATCTCCACTAAGGTCCTTTGTGACCTTCGGCAACTTCTACCCTTGCCCCCTGCACTGTGGTCCAGGCCTCCGCATTGTTCCACAGACACATCAGCACATTCCTGCCTCGAGGTCTTTGCACTCATGTTCTTCTCCCTGGGATGCTCTTCCTCCAAATGCCCACACGTTCTCCCTGGGATGTTCTTCCTCCAAATGCCCACATGCCTACTCCCTCGCCTTCAAGTTGGCTCCAGTTCAGCCTCTCAGTGAGGACTTCGTGACCTCTGTCAAGGGCTTTTTTCCCCCAAAGTAAATCTTCTCATCTACTTAATAAATAACCCACGTGACATCTATTTACAGATCATAATAATGATAATGAATACCCACGGACCACCACCCAACCTAGGCTCTCAAACTAAAGTTTTTTAACAAAGTAATGCCAATTTCCATACATGTGCCCTGCATTTGTGTCACATTTATTCCTGTGGGCAGCATCTTCAGCTAGTGCCCACAGAGGCCTGCTGCCCTTCCTGGGGGTCTGCCCTACATGCCTGCCTGGGACTTTAAGAAAGGAACTCCCTGGGGTGTGTACACACACACACACACACACACACCCACACCCCCCCACACACACAGGCTGGCCATTTCCCAGGACTCTAGTGTGGGGACTTGGGCTCTGGCCGAATCACAGGTCTCCACGTCCCAGGCTTTCCTTACAGATGTGGAGTCCAGGACAGGAGGCCTCTGGGCAGCGAGATGGGAACCAGGGCACAGAAGGTGTTGGGTGGGGCAGTCCCCGCAACCGGGCTGACTCACCCCAACAGCTGGGCCTGGGCTGGTAGCTCCGCCTTGCACTTGCCCAGGCCTGAAAGCCATGGCTGAGCTCCCGAGGCTTGCTCTCAGGGAAAAGGGGAGCCTGGTGGGCCACTCCTTCCCTGAAGCCCCCTCCCCAAGGCCTGCTTCCTGGAGCTGGGGCCCAGGCGCCTGGGTTCTTCCCCAGGACTGATGATTCACCCCTGCTAGGGCCTTTTCACTTCTCCTTTGGGGCTAAAAATACAGGGACCCAGGCATCCAGCTGGGCTAGGCTTCACCACGGATTGCACAATGCTGCTGTTTGAGTGCTGCTGACGCAGGCTCCGGGTTCGGGTGGGGGAGTAAGCTGCTCCCAGACCAGGCATGCTGAGGTCAGGGCCTAGAACCCCTTCACTTCCCCTTTCCTGGGCTAAGGACTGGGGGTGCTGGGCTGACAAAGGAGGTGCTGGGGATCCCTGGACTTGGCTGTGGCCCTTGGAAATGAAACTCCTTCCTCTAACCCCAGGTAGCCTAGGGGTCTGGCTCCCAGAATCTAGCCCCCTTCATACTAGAGTCCCAGTTAGAACTGGGAGAATAGAGCAAAAGGAGACTAGACAGAGATGGTCAGAGACAGGGAAATAGGACCAAGAGGCAGAGAAATGGACAAAAAGAGACCCAACGAGAGGCAGACAACAGACACATGCCTTAGAAACACACAGAGAAACGGCTAGAAAAGGGAGCAAATAGAGAAAGACCACCCCCAAATGGACAAAGTCAGGAAAGACTGAGGGAGAGAGGCAGATCAGGGCTCTTTGCCCAGGCAGGCTGGGGGCGAGCCCTGTAAGAGGTCATCAACGGGGGGTCCAAAGTGCATCCTGGGCTCGGCAGGACAGGACGGCAGGCTGCCAGGGGAAGCAAGGCCCCGCCCTGCGCGCCCCCTGCTGGCCTCTGCTGCCCCCTGCTGGCTAGGGCCACAGAACTCAGGCGGGAAGAAAAGTCGGAGACAGGCTGCTTTGAGGTCACTCTTCATTCCCTCCCTGTCCCCTTCCCCCGGGGCCTGCCCCACTCCCAGCCCTGCCAGCTCACAGGGTGCCCCCAGGGCCTGTAGGTGGTGCCGGCGTCTTGCCCGTGACCTTGTTGGCACAGTCCAGCAGAGCGGTGTGAATGTCCTTGGCACAGGCAATCTGGGCTTTGATGACTGCCAGGTACTGCGGGTAGGGCAGGCTGTCAGGCTGTACTGCATCTGGTTTGGTGGCCGTGGGCACCAGAGTTGGCGAATGCTTGGCACTGTCGCAACTCTGAGACAGGCACTCATGTGCCAGGCGCTGTGGACAGGCAGGCAAGGTGTGGTATCAGTGTCCCTCCTGGTGCTCCCAACTCCACCCCAAGAGCCAGCATGGGGTAGCTGGCTGGGCCTCTGGACTCCCAGGGGTTTGCAGTCAGAGCCTGAACCTCTGGTCACTTGCTGGGTGACCTCAGGCATGCAGCTTCCCCTCTCGGAGTCTGTTTCCTCCTTTGGAAAATCAAATGGGTTTAATGACTACCTTTGCTGCCTCCTCGGGTGAGAACCGTGAGTGTGTGAGACAGCCACAGGTCCTAGCGCTTCATTAAGTGCTAACTGATGAATGTCAGCTGCTATTGCTGTGACTGTCCTAACTCCAGCCTTGACCCTGGCAGTGGCTTCTCTGATGATACCTGCTTCTGGTTTTCCTCCTTCTTTTCTGGCTCCTCTAAGAACTTCTTATTCTGCCCAAGCTTTATTTTTTTAATTTTTTAAAAAGATTATTTATTTATTTATTTATTTATTTATTCATTTATTCATGAGAATACACAGAGAGGAGAGAGAGAGAGAGAAGCAGAGACACAGGCATAGGGAGAAGCAGGCTCCATGCAGGGAGCCTGATGTGGGACTCGATCCCGGCTCTCCAGGATCACGCCCTGAGCTGTAGGCGGTGCTAAACCGCTGAGCCACCGGGGCTGCCTGCTTTATTTTTTTTAATGTTTATTTTCTTTAAAGATTTTATTTATTTATTCATGAGAGACACAGAGACACAGGCAGAGGGAGAGGCAGGCTCTCTGCGGGGAGCCCGATGCAGGACTTGATCCCAGGACCCCAGGATTACGGCCTGAGCCAAAGGCAGATGCTCAACCACTGAGCCACCCAGATGCTCCTGCTCAAGCTTTAAACGGGGCAATTCCCAGGTCCCATCTCTTCTTGCTCTCATGCCCTCTAGGGGCTGTCCCACCCACATGCACTACACAGTTCCCACCTCCGCAGTAACATCACATCTATATCCCCAGCCTCCCCTGAAATTCCTGAGCTGTCACACTCTCCTAAACAAACTGTTCCTCTTCCTGGGTCCCTGTCTCAGGAATGGCACTGCTATTCCAACTACAGCCTTGGGCCTCATCCTGGAGAGGACTCCTCCCATAGTCCGGCAGCCCCATGGTCTGTTAACGAAGCCTTCTGAGCAGCTTTCCCATCTGTTCTTCCCCACTTCCTCATGGCCCTGTCCTGGTGCAGCCTGGCCTACCTGAATCCTGTCCTGGTGGCCTCCTTGGGCTTCCAGCCTCCACTCTTGGCTCCTCTAACCCATCCTTCACTTGGCAGCCAGAAGTATCTTCTTACTAAAAAAGCCAGCAGGGCCATGTTCTTCCCTGCTTAAAACCCTCCATGGCTCCCCACCACCCTCAGGGCTATATTCAAAAGCCAACAAGCCCGGGGGTGGCTCAGTCGGTTAAGTGCCTGACTTTGGCTCAGGTGATGATTTCTGGGTCCTGCCATCAAACCCTGTGTCAGATTTTGTGCTCAGCAGGGAGCCTGCTTCCCTCTCTCTCTCTCTGCCGCTCCCCCAGCTTGTGCACGTGAGCTGTCTCAAATAAATAAATCTAAAAAAAAAAAAAAATCCCACAAGCCCTAATGCATACTAAACCTCAGCTAAACTGAATTTCATGACATTCCGATATGGGAAATTAAAGTAGAAGCTGTCCCTTATGGTTGGAACACCTTTCTACCACCACCAGACTTCTCAAATTCTGACTTTTCCTTCAAAACCAAGTTTAAAATTATGATGATGATGATGATACTACAGGAAACGTTTGCCACATGCTTAGTACCATGTTGTTTTTTTACATATTTGATATTGCTGTCTTTCCCCAAAATCCATTTCTTAAAGGAGAAACCCAAAGGTCACAAGTAGAGATTGGTGATCCATCTGATTCCAGAGTCTGTGCTCTTAACCACCCACCCTCTTCCATTTTTGCTCCAGCCAAAGCTCCAATGTGCTCTCTACCTGTAAACTTCCCTGAGCCATTCTCTCCCTGCCCTGTCCTTGGCAGAGTCAGGTGCCTTCTCTGGGCTTCCACAATCCCCCGAACTTCCCTCATTTTAATCCTGACCCCTCTTGTGCCTCTCCCATCCTAGCCCTGACCACTCTGAGCTGTCACTATTTGGGGATGTATGTCACCCCCACTGAACTGGAAGCTTAGTAAAGGCAAGGATCAGAGCAACACCATGTCCCCAGCATCAATTGAAGCACAAGAGTGGCCCATAGGAGGTGCCCCATGTGTGCCGACTGACAGGGTTTCCGGAGACCTGGGGACTGAGGCAGGGCTGTGGTCACCCAGTGTCTAGGAGGCCCCTTACCAGGCAGAGCTCCAGCTGGTCACAGAGTGCGTAGAACTCCTCCAGACACTTGTCAAAGCGCTGTATGGGTCCATCACTGCTCTTTCTATAGTCCAGGAGAAGAAGGTGACTGGAGAATGAATTTCCAATCTCTGGGACTTCAGTGTCTACCCAACCAAGTATCCATCAGGAAACCAAGTTTAGGCCCAGAAACCCCAATGCACGGCCTAAGGGACTGTTTTAGAAGAGGCAAAAGAGCAAGGGTGGTCGCTAAGGAGTGGGGCTCGAAAATAGAAGGAAGGGGGCATAAGTGGGTGGGGATCCGCGTGTGAGTTTCTAAGACTAGGGAAAGCGGCTATACTCACTGTCCGTTGTCAATGTTAGTGTTCTGAATCAAGTTCTGGGCTGCGACCTTCATCAAGGTCTAGTTAAAAAAAAAGGGGGGCACGAAATAGAGAAACAGAAGGGGGTGTAGATCTGCCAAAAGTGCGTTTGGTAGATCTACACTCTTCCCTAAGATCTATTCAATTTCAAGGCTTCTCATCACTTGGCACCTCTCCTGTCAATCCAGAGTAGCAGGATTTTCCTAGAAGCCCGCTCTCACCGAGGGTCCTCCCAGTAATCTCCGACAGATCTTACACTCCTGCCTCATCCACCAATCATGGAAATAATCTCTGTACAGGCCAGGCTTTTCCTCGCGTATTAACAACCAGAGCCTTATTTTTCCTTTAAACTCCCTCCCACTCGAGTTCCGGCCATTCCCAGGCCCAACACCCCCGCTGATCCCGCTCACACTGTCAATCTGCAGAGCCTCGCTTTGGCCTCATCAAGAGGACCAAACGTCATTCCCCCTTCCTGCCTCTCCAACGCTCCTTTGCTCTCTCCCAGACTAAAGAGGCCCTCTGCCTTCCCCCTTGGAGTCAGAGAATAAGACCCCTCTAGCTTCTCACCGCTCCCGGCCAATCACCTGTAGACTCTCCTTCAACTGCGGGATGAGCATCTTGTAACGCTGCACTGGATCGAAGTCCTGTTGCTGTTGCTGCAGAAGCCCGCTCTGGGCAGGCCCCACCAACTGTGCTGGTGGTTGCGGCTGCTGTTGCGGACCCGGGCCACCAGACGAACCCGGACCCGACACACCCGCGGCAGACGAAGCAGCGGCAGCTTGCTGCTGGGACGCAGCCATCTTCCTCGCCCAGCGCGCCGGAAGTGCGCCACAAGAGCGTCTCTCCCGGTTTCTTCTTGGCGTCTCTGTCTCCAGGTCCCGTTTGCTACTTAGCTCCGCCTCCCAAGCCACTCAGCCAATGGGAGGAAAGGATAACCCCCTCTCCCTCTCCTCCCCCTTGACTCTCAAATTAGACGTCCACATTGACGATTGCCAATCACAAGAGGCTGTTCCTCCATCGCCCCGCCCCTTACCCAGCCGTTTGCCAATCCGGGTGTGGGTCTAATCCGGACTCTATTTCCCAGAAGGGCTCGCGGCCTGAGGCGACCTGTCGGGTCCTCAACGTCTTGGCGGCAGTTGGTGGAGCCGGAGCTGCGAGTCCGTCTTTGGCGCTGCCTGCTCTCGTTTAGCCGAGTCTCCACTGGCACTCTTCTCACCAGGCGACCTCATTTCGACCCTACCCCGACTGAGAGCGGCGCCAACCCGAGGCCTCCCTCGGATCAGGCGTCCGCCGACGTCGGCACACCCCTCCGCGTCTCCCCGCGGCTCAGCAAGGACCCCGTCCGGGCCTCCTTCGCCTTGTCGCCATGGCGCCCACCATTCAGACTCAGGCCCAGCGGGAGGATGGCCACAGGTAGGCACCACGCCACCTGGCTGTTCCGCTTTCCTCTGGGTGTCTCCAGGTTTCGGCGAGGCGGGCGGGCGGGGGTTGGGGCCGGGCGCGGGTGGCTTCCTACGACGCCGCCGGCCCCCGGGTCTGCCCGTGATGTGAGACCCTCGCCGCGAACGCCGTGACGTCACGGAGCGCTTACCTTTGACAGGGGTGGGTTCCTTCAGGGATGGGGTGTTGTCCCCGCTCCCTGCCATGGAGTTCAGGGATTAGGCTATGGGGAGACCGTTTAAAAGGGATTGTGCGTTTATTACTCCAGTGAAGCATTTCGAGAACCCCTTTGCCAAAAGCGATTGAGCACGTAAGACCTCCCCTCCAAGAGCGACTGAGCAGTTGGCTTCATTCAGGAAAGCGTTTGCACTTTCCCTAGGAGGAGTTGAATATTAGGCTCCTTCCGTTAAAGTACTTGGAGCACCTCTGCCCAAAGGATTTACCATGTGTCACCCCCACCTCCCCTTTTTTAAAAACTTGGGGAAAAAAACCTCCTTCATTCTTCTGTCCGGTTTTTTCCATCTTTGTCAATGTGTCTCTCTTACCTACCAGGCCCAATTCTCACCGGACTCTGCCGGAGAGGTGAGCCCCATTGTGTTTTCCCAGAAGGGGTGGGCCAGTGGGGGCTGGGAGCAGAGGTGGGGCAGCAGGGGCCAGGTTTTGAACCACTGTGTTCCCAGGTCCGGAGTGGTCTGTCGAGTCAAGTACTGCAACAGCCTTCCTGACATCCCCTTCGACCCGAAGTTCATCACCTACCCCTTTGACCAGAACAGGTGAGGCGGAGATGGAGGTTGGTGAAATACCTCAATTAGATCATGAGTTCCTTGAGGGCAAGGATTGCTTTTCTTGTTGACTGCTCTTTTCTCATCACCTAGCAACAGGACACTAGGTGCTCCGTAAATACTTGTTAATGAATGAAACAAGCAGTGTCCAAGTCTCTTCCCACTGAAGAGCCGGGCTTCTGGCCCCAGCGTGGGGGACACTCCCCATTTTGAGTTCCTCCCTGGAGAGGCTTAGGCTCTGGGAAGCAGGGATGTGAGGGGTAAAGCTGGAATCAGGAAGCCATAATGCGTGTTTCCCCACCCAGGTTCGTCCAGTATAAAGCGACTTCCTTGGAAAAACAACACAAGCACGACCTCCTCACTGAGCCAGACCTGGGGGTCACCATTGACCTTATCAACCCGGATACCTACCGCATCGACCCAAATGGTGTGTGGGAAGGCAGGGAGGACCTGCTCTAGGCCAGCAAAGGCCAGGTCCTGCCTCACGACCCTCTTGTTCTCCCTTAGTACTCCTCGATCCCGCTGATGAGAAGCTTTTGGAAGAGGAGATTCAGGCCCCTACAAGCTCCAAGAGGTGAGTGTGCTGAGTGGGACTGGAGATGTCAGGTGTGTGTGTGTCTATAATGGGAGGAGAGTGGTGGGTCCTAAGTGCCTAATACTCTACCCCAGATCCCAGCAGCATGCGAAGGTGGTGCCATGGATGCGGAAGACTGAGTACATCTCCACTGAGTTCAACCGTTATGGCATCTCCAATGAGAAGCCTGAGGTCAAGTAAGTTGTGGTGGGTAAGGAGGGAAAGCGGAGATTTCAGGTGTGTCCAGTGATCCCTAAAGGCCTCTCTCTTTACTTGTAGGATTGGGGTTTCTGTGAAGCAACAGTTCACGGAGGAAGAAATCTACAAAGACAGGGATAGCCAGATCACAGCTATTGAGAAAACTTTTGAAGATGCCCAGAAGTCGGTAATTGAGGGACTGGGGTAGGATGGTGGTTGCAGGCAGAACAAGGTGCAGCTCCAAAACTCCACGTCCTCCTCTTCACCAACCCTGTTTTTGCCCCCACCAGATCTCCCAGCATTACAGCAAGCCCCGAGTGACACCGGTCGAGGTCATGCCTGTCTTCCCAGACTTTAAGGTCAGATCCAGGGCAGGGAGGCAGCAAAGATAGCCTGCCATCGCTGCTCATCCCAGTCTAATGCCAGTGTTCTTGCCCCAGATGTGGATCAACCCATGTGCTCAGGTAATTTTTGACTCAGACCCAGCCCCCAAGGACACGAGTGGTGCAGCTGCATTGGAGATGATGTCTCAGGCCATGATCAGGTAAGTAAGTAGCCCCACTGCCCACCCATGTTCCTCACTGCCCCTTTGTCCTCACTCTTCATTTTCTCCTCTTCTTCCATCCAGAGGCATGATGGATGAGGAAGGGAACCAGTTTGTGGCTTATTTCCTGCCTGTGGAGGAGACACTGAAGAAACGAAAGCGGGACCAGGAGGAGGAGATGGACTATGCACCAGATGATGTGTGCGTGGGTTGGGGTTAAGTTTTGGGGATTGAGAATTGGGTCTCCTTTTTTCCCCTCATAAGGAAGAAATGGGGTGACCTTGTTCCCATCATCCTCATCAGGTATGACTACAAGATTGCCCGGGAGTACAACTGGAATGTGAAGAACAAAGCTAGCAAGGGCTATGAGGAGAACTACTTCTTCATCTTCCGGGAGGGTGATGGGGTTTACTACAATGAATTGGAGACCAGGTACTTGGTACACGCCTACCTCAGATTAGCCTGGGCCCGCGCTTTAGAATCCTGATCCTGGGGTATACAGGAACTACACTGCAGGTCATTTGTACATAAGGATTGGTCTCTCCTGCATTTTAAACAGGAGCAGCAGAAGCCTGCTCAAGCATGGGAGCTGGACCTAATTCTAACAAAAAGAACCCAGGAAGGAAATTGAGCCTTTCTGTAGGGTAGATAGCCAAATTCCATCTGATAATAAGAGATTTCATGTGAAAGTCAGCATAAACAAAATACAGAGTAATACGTCAAATTAGCATAAAGATTTTAAATGAAATCTTGGATATCCAAGTTAATAAGGTGACACCCCCCCCTCCCCCCGTCCCCCAAACAAACTTTCCCCTGAGAGCTAGACGTTTGTTTACTTACTCCTGTGCTAGGGCCCTCAGTGTAATGTAAGGGTTAGGAAAGAAAGTGTGACCTTGAGTTTGTTTAAAGCAAGAGATCCCAAACTCTGATCCCATCCATGTAGAAGGTAGCACAGTGGGCTGGTGAGCTCTGAGTGACTTGGAGCTCTTGACAACCTCCAAGGGCACCGTGACCTGGCCCAGCAAAGGGCTCCATCCTATTGTTGCTATGCTATGGGAAGGAAAAGGGGCCACAGTTTAACATTTTCCCAAAGCCAGCCATCTAGATTCTGTGCTTTTAAGTGCTGGTAACTAATTCACCTTGAAATCTCTTATGTGCACACATTTGTGTTGTGTGTGCACACGCACGTGTGTATACACATACACTTTATAAGTACAGGGGACTTGTGGAGCTATTAGCCTTCCCTTTCCCTTACCCGACCTGAGTGTAGTCTCCTTCATTCAACCCACATTGTTTCTGGTCTGTTCTGAACTAAACATTGGTGAGATAGTAAGAATCAAGTCAGACTGGATCCCCCTCTGTGGTCTTTAGATGCATCTTCCACATACCCCTCCTCACCAACTTGCCCACTGCAGGGTCCGCCTGAGTAAACGCCGGGCAAAGGCTGGGGTTCAGTCCGGTACTAATGCCCTGCTTGTGGTCAAACACCGGGACATGAATGAGAAGGAATTAGAAGCCCAGGTAACAAGCATCACTGGCCCAGGGCACCCACGGAGGGTGGGAATGGGTAAGGAGAGAAACAAGCCTAACAGAACACTCTCTTCCCCCTCAACCCTGCTGCTTCTAGGAGGCACGGAAGGCCCAGTTGGAGAACCACGAACCCGAAGAAGAAGAGGAAGAAGAGATGGAGACGGAAGAGAAAGAAGCTGGGGGCTCAGGTAAGCTGGAGAGGCCAAACCCCAGGAGTCCTGGAAGGGTGGGAAACTGGGTCTCACTTCTCCCTGCTTCCTTACAGATGAGGAACGCGAGAAAGGCAGCAGCAGTGAGAAGGAAGGCAGCGAGGATGAGCGCTCAGGCAGTGAGAGTGAACGCGAAGAGGGTGACAGGGACGAGGCGAGTGACAAGAGTGGTAGCGGGGAGGATGAGAGCAGTGAAGACGAGGCCCGGGCTGCTAGGGACAAAGAGGAGATCTTTGGCAGTGATGCAGATTCAGAAGACGATGCGGATTCTGATGACGAGGACAGAGGCCAAGCCCATGGCAGTGACAACGATTCGGACAGTGGCAGTGATGGGGGTGGCCAGCGGAGCCGGAGCCGCAGCGCCAGTCCCTTTCCCAGTGGTAGTGAGCACTCTGCCCAGGAGGATGGCAGTGAAGCTGCAGCTTCTGATTCCAGTGAAGCTGACAGTGACAGTGACTGAGTCCCAGGCCCTTCAGGGTTGGTGCAGACACGATTATAATAATGCGAGCATTATGCGTAGGAAGGCACTTTTGAGTGGTCTGTTTGCGAACCCTTCGCTTTGTTTCCCTCCTCTCCTCCAGGCCTTGCTGTTAATAAAGCCAACTTCTTTCCCTTTACTTCCGCTCCCAGCCCTATGGTCTCATTCGGCTTCCACCTCTCCTTCCCGCCCTGTCCCAGGAGCTCGATGGCCTCAGCCTAAGGCCTCTAGGTTTTCCATGAAATGTAGCATAACAAAGGTCAGAATCCTTTTTTTGTTTCTTGTTTTTTTTTTTTTTTTTTTCCAAAATAAGCCCAGACCATTAAACAAGTGAAACTCCAACAAGTAAGTCTTCTCCAACAGCGAGAAAAACTGTACAGTTACTCAAAGCTGATTCTGCCAGTGGGGCTGGGAATAGGAGGGAGGGTGAAATCATGGCGGGGGCAGGGGGCTTGGGGGGGCTGGAACAGAAGAGGGTCAGGGTCCTGCTCATCAGAGTGGGGCCGCCTGCGTCCTGCACACTCTGCTGTCAGGTGGGGGGAAGGGGGCAGCTCTCGCCTCCCATTGTGTGTGTGTGGGGTGTCCCTCACCACCTCCCAATGCCAGGCAGAGCCAGCTCACCCTGATGGGTAGTGAAGATGACAGGACTGGCTGGGAGGTGGTGAGGGTCCTGTACGAGGGACACCCTGCTGATTCCAAACGAGGTGGCCCCTGTCCATCCCACTTCCCGGGGCTATTGGGAGGGGGACTGGAGAAGCCCTGGGAGCTTGAGGGGAATGAGCAAAGGCACAGAAACATGGAGGGGCCGGGGTGGGGGACTTGCATAGGTTGATGAGTGTGCAAGAGGTACATAAATAAACCTGACACCCCACCCAGCCCGGCACTGGGAGAGGAGGTGGGGACCTTAGCAGATCCCCAGGGCCACCCCACCCCCTGGCTTCCTCCCCCTCCCTGGGCTCAGAGCTGAGGGAGGTCCAGACTAGGAGGGCAGAGGCAAGAAGGTCTGGGGAATGGGCTGAGAGTGCAGGGAGGGCGGTGGTTTTAAAATTTTTTTTTTTTTGGTTTTTTGTTTTTTCCCAACATTTTGTATCTTTAATAACATACACAATGGTTACCAGCCATATTCATAACAAAAGTTATTCATAAAATGTATCTAAAAATAACATTTTTTTCCTTTTCGGTGTGAAAAGCTTGAGAATGTCCCAGTGGGGGGTGGGGTGGGTTGAGTGGGAAGAGGGGGTTGGAATAGGGGACCCTGGCTTCCCCACAGCCTGAACCCCCAAATCCCCTCCCTCCACCTGGGCCCCAGCACAACCCCTCAGCAGGAACAGAGACCAGAGGGTCTGTGTGACTCCACAGCTGGGACAAATCTCTGGGTTATGATAGTGTTCCACTTAAGTGAGGTCATGACAGAATGGGGGGGTGGGGAAGGATGAAAGAAAAGGGGTGGGGAAAGAAACCAAAAACCAAACAATCCCCTTTCCCTTATTCCTTACCCCAAGTCTTTCAGCAACCAGACCTGGGAGTGGACAAGGGTGTGTTGGTTGCGGGAAGGGGATGTTAAGGCAACAGACTTCCTGACCTCACTGGCTGCCCTGGCTCCTGGCCTTCAACCTCTGCATCCGGGGAGCCAGGACGGGGGAAGCGGGGAAGGGCTAGGGGGTCTGGAGGAGGGGGCTCTGCCCTCTCCCCTCGTAAATTCAGGCTCCCCCTGCCACTGTCTTGGCTCAGAGAGAGGCCTGGGGATTCTAAAAATGAGAGGGAATGATCAGAGAGAAAAACCGTTAAGAACTATATAAATATGCATCTTAAATAGGCCTAAGAAATTAATTGTAGAGAACCTCTGATAAACAGGGCAAAAGGAGGTGAGTGAAAGGAGGGTGGCTCCTGTCCTTGGGGAATGATGGGAATGGGGAAGAGAGGCAGGTGATAAGAAGAGAGAGAGAGGCTCCTCTCCTCATCTACCACCTTCTCCTTAGCTCCTCTCAAATAACATCCAGGAGAGCAAGTGGTCAACCCCGCTCCTCTCCCCAGATGTCAGATGGTGCTGAGCAGGCCCCGCAAGACGGGGAAGCTGCTCCCTTAGGAGGGGCGGGTGGCCAGCAGTCTGGAGGAGGCAGGGGTGGGACGGGGCCAGGTAGGGGATGAGGGAGGGAAGGAGGGGCAGTCAGGCTAGCCAGTCCCTGCTCCCTTTATCCTGGCTGCCCCCTACCTCCCTGAGCCTCAGCAGGGATCCCTCGACGGGCCTGGGAGTGAGCAAGGCGTGTGCCAATGTTAAACAAAAGTTAAAAGGGTGAGAGAGTAGAAAAATACTAGAATGTATAGCTGAGCCAGCCCACCCTCTCGCTGTCGCGGAGAAGCCCGTTGGGGGTTGGCCCCCGCCCGCCGCCCAGGGAGCCTATGGGTGCGCTGGGCTGTGGGTCCCGTCAGATGGTGGAGGTTTTGTCTGTCCCATCTGTGGTAAGAAAGGGAGGAAGGGAGGAAGATCAGGAAGTGGCGGGAGGCCCAAGAAAAGGCGCTCCGGGAGCCTGTCATCCCAGTCAGGCCCTCCCTGGAGGCTGGCCTCCCCTAGGGACCCCTCAGGATGCTCTGAGTTGCTCAGTTCAGAGGCAGAGACGCTGCTGGGTAGGTGGGAGCTGGGTCAGGGAAAGAGGAAATGCTCACCACCCAAGGCGTGTTCTGTCATGCTCAGACACAGAGACTCCAGAGTGGGATTGATCTCCAGGTCAGGCCCAGGGACCGGGCAGTCTGAGGGGGAGAGAACAGAGGCAAAGGCTGAGCTGAGGCGGAGTGCAGAGCCTGGGAGACAGAGCACTGGATGAGCACTGGATGGGCTGCCGTGGGGGGAGGGCTGACAGGGATAAGAGGGAGGGAGGGAGGGAGGGAGGGAGGGAGAGGCAGGAGACGGAGGAACCGCATGTGAGACGTGGCAAACACTGATGGGAAGTATGATCGGGCAGGGGTGAAGGACAGTCGGGCCGGGGGTGCACAGAGCAGGGAGAGGCTTAGCAATGAACAGAAAGCCTGACCAGCAGGCTGAGGGAGTGTGGGAAGCTGAGGGCGCTTCCTGGAGGCCGCACCCTGCATGTTGCCTTAGGCACAGTCTGGGCATTGGCCCCAGGCACTGGGCAGCCCCATACTCCTTGACTGATGACCTGCTCTGTAGTTGGTGCAGAAGCTTAATTAGAACCCTTCCCAACCCCACTTGGACTTGCTCCCCTGGGCAGGATGTCATCTGGGCAGGCCCGGCAGACGGCAAATCAGGACAGCAGCCATGGGGTTTGTCCTCAAATCACCTCTAAAGGGCCTCTTGTTCTGGTGTCTGGGAAACAGCCCACTCCTGAGCAGAGCTGACCCCACCCTATACTGCTTAAAACCCCTTCCTTGGCTCCTCACTGCTATGGGGAGGAAGCCGGAGCTCTCTGCCTGGGTTCAGAAGACTCTTCTGCTCCCACTCCCAGCCTCACCAGTCATCACATCCCCAATGAACTCTGAGCTCAGGCCATGTTGGGACACCTAACTGGCCGTTCTTAGCAAATATATATTTTTTTGACCTTGGGCAAGTCACCTCTCTGAGTCTCAGATTTATGACTGACATGATGGGAATAATACCAGTGCCCTCATGTACACAGCCGGGAGGAACTGATTTGATGGAGTAGGAAAGCTGTCGGATACACAGTCCAGCACACAGCACGCCAGTAAAAAGAACTGTATCAACTTTTTGCTTGTGCATTTCACCCATCCAGTCATTTAGCATCCGGTTACAGATGCCTACCATATGCCAAGCCCTATGCTAGGATGAACACAGTGGACAGGGTCCTCTGCCTCTGACAGATGGCAGTTCACATAATCTCATAAATTGAAAGCCACTAAATTTGGCACTTTATATGTCATGAAGACCTTAGGGTCACCTACAAGTCTAGTTAAAAACAAATTTTTAAAGTAAACTCTACCTCCAATATGAGGATTGAATTCCTAACCCTGAGATCAAGAGTTGCATGCTCTACAGATGAGCCAGCCAGGTGCCCCATCTCCCACAGCCTTCTCTGCCTTTGCAGCCTCAGTGGCCAGCAGCAGGTCCAGCCCAGGGCAAGAGACACCCCCACTTGACAAGCAAGGCCGGGCTAGCATTTCTCTAACCTTCCTCTTGCCAACTTCACCCTCATTCTGATCTCTCATCTCTACACTGTTCTATGAACAGAGAAAAAACAGTCATCTCACCTCACAGACCCTTTAGTGTGGAACCTGGTTTAAGAACTGAAGTTTGCTGGTTCCTGCCTGAAAGAATCCCAGTGGACTGACAGGCAGGACTCCCCGCGCATGGAAAACTTGATGCTTTGTCTCACCCCCTCCACCCCTTCCAGACTGAGTATTTTAGAGAGGAATCCTCTAGGGAGATGGTGACGGAGACCAGCAGAGACACTAAGACTGTGACACAAGAAGGAAAGGTGTGGAAATGAGGGGTTGGGAGTAGGGGAGAGAGAAGACAGAGAAAGCAGGCAGGATCTGAGAAGGAAAACTGCAGTGGGGGAGAGGGGAGGGTATAAGAAAACTCATGATGTGGGAAGATGGGTACAGAGTGATGGGAGGTAGAAGGAGGTGCTGGAAGGATAGTGGGAATGGGAATGAGAGAAGGGCCACCTAAGGGTGTTGTTGAGGCGGAGCCCCAATGGTGGAGGCAGCTTACCTGGAGGGAACATGAGAATGGCCTGGGGCGATGAATGGACCGGAAGGGAGTGGGTGCGCTGCACAGAGCTGCGGCTCTGGCTGGGCATGCTGTTGCTGCCTCCAGGGTTGGCAAACCACAGGTTCTACACAGGGCAGAGGAAAACAGAAAGTGGTGAGTTGAGTGGGAAGAAGCCCAGGCCCAGGCTCGGTGGAGCTGGCAAAGGAGCCTCTCCCATTTAAGCCAGGCCCAGGTGCAAACACATGGACATGCACAGCTCAGGCACGACCACCCCAATCCCAGAAGCGCCAGGCCCTCTGCTTCCCACTGGCTCACCTGTCGGCCCTGGCCCCCAAGGCTGGGGCTAGTGAGGGCATGTCGGGGGGAGATGCCCCCAATGCCGGAAGGGCTCAGAAGGCCCATCCTGCCGGGTGGGAGGGCCCGGGGAGGCATTGGGAACTGCCGCTGGGTCCGCCGGGCCACCCCCATCCCCACAGAGCCAGCTATGGGAAGGGAGTTGGAGCCAAACGCCCAGCTGTGAAAGAGTAGAAGGCAGGGTGTCAGTTTAGGTGGTTGGGGCCCCTCTCTGTCCACCCCTTCCTCCCTTCCCCTCCCATAATCCCCATGGGAAGGACAGAACACAGACCTGCTATGAACAAGGACTCCCTGTCCAATCCTTGCATCACACACACTGTTCTCCTGCCCCGAGGTACCCTCAGGACACAGATGGGAGTGGACAAAGGTTTCCTCACATCCACTTACAGCAGTTCTCCTAACTTTAATTCTCAAGCGTGACACTTAGTATTTGTGGAGAAAAGAGACTTCACAGCTCTCTACACACAGGTGAGGACAGGGGACAGGCAAAGGGCCAGATGTTGCTTCTGTCAGCTCAGCACCCTGCTGCAGTGGGAAGAACACCCTGATTTTCTTCCGGGAAAGTCTTCACTGGGTGACTTGTGTAAGGTTTACCCAGTGACTGAATGAGGACAACCGATTCCCAGCCCAGAACGCGATCAGCATACTGAACACTATCGGTGCCTTGGGAAGGAAGGTTCCTACACCCTGGCTGCCTGCTTACCCTTTCTGCTGCCGGTAGTTCTGCATCTCTAGGGCGGCTTTGCGCGGGAAGGTCCGGAGGAGCTTCAGCACTTGCTGTTTCCAGGACAGCAGCCGTTTCTTCTGCGTCTCCGTGAACGCCTAGAATTGGGAGTGTGAAGCAGGGAGGGTGTGCCTTCCTCTCTGCCTTCCATTCACCCACCCGACTGCCTGCCTGCTCTGTGCTGGCAATGCTGGGATGCAGCAGTAACCTGCGCACGCAGAAATCACAGTTCAGCTGGGGAAAAGACACACATGCGATCTGAACAGTGATGAGCACTGTGGGGGAGAAGCCCAGGAGGCGTGAGAAGCCCAATCTGCTGTGAGGGGCCAGTGTAGGCATCTGAGGTGCACATGTCTGAACTGAGAGCTGAGAGACCAGCAGGAGGAAGAGGAAACTGGTTCCCAAAAGAAGGAATATGTAGTAAGGCTCTGAGAAGGAGAGCTCATGGCAGCCGCCAGGGCCAACACTGGTGAGATGAGGGCTGGAGATAGAGGGTGAGTGCAGCCGGGCTGGGCCCTGAGGACCACGTGAGGAATAGGGATGCTGAGAGTGATGGGGGGAGCCTTTTCCTGCTTGGAACCCTAGAGGAGGCCTTACCTCATGAGTCAGGCACTTTTCAATGAGCTGGAGGTAACTGGTGATGTTCTCCTCGTCTGGTCGGGACACCAGCAGCTGGGTGCACACTGAGGGACAAGGGAAAGGGAGGAGAGTTAGCCCCAGCATGTCCTCTGCCAACCTCTAGCTTCCTCAGCCCCTGCTGGCCAGCACAAAAGTTGGAAGAGGACCAAGGCTGCGTGAGTTCTAGCTATGTGTGAAGCATGATACCTGGCTGCCGTGAGAATATATAAAGCCCACCACAGTGGCTCAGAGAGGTTGAATCACTTGCCCCAGGTCACGTGGCTAAAAGGATATGGACCCAAGTGTAAAGTCTGCTATGCCATGCTGTCTCAGGAAAGGCCAAGACCACTGGGAGTTTCACCAGACTTATCCTGTGGCCTTTAGTCCCCTGTGAAGGAAGGAACCAGTGGATTTGCCTCATACTGTACACAATTTCTACCAACACACTGTCCCACCTTCTGCTCAGTTTGGAGACACTGGAATAGTAAGTAAGGGTTCTCTCCTACCATCAGCCTGGACACACTTAAGGGCAGGGCCTCGCTACTCTTGGTCTCAGCACTCTCTGAAGTGATCTAGTCCTCAGGGTGCTTTAAAAAATTTATTTATTTATTTAGATTTTAAAAATTCACTTATTCATGAGACACATAGAGAGAGAGGCAGAGACACGGGCCCTGAGCCAAAGGCAGATGCTCAACCATTGAGCCATCCAGGCATCCCCCCAGAGTACTTTAAAAAGCTCTGCTCCCCATCATTTAACTTCGATTTGATGACTGGGTCCACTTGGCTCCCTGTCCAGAACTTCTTGCCGGGCCTTGGGTTGTCTCACCTTTGCCCATCACCCGTGTAAACTGGCTGGGGATGTCTCCGTCGGCGACGGGAGCTGGGGCTGGCTCACTGCCATCAGTGGGAGCCGGAGCTGGTGGAGGGGGGTAGCTCTCTGCAGCTGGAGGGTCCTTGGACTCAGTGCCCTTGTCTGTGCCGGGGTGAGCCAGGGGAGGCTCAGCACCTGGCAGTGGTGGCTCCCCCCGGCTCCCATCCTTGGCAGTAGGGGTGGTGGCAGCAGCAGCAGCCACAGTGGCCTGGAGGACGCTGTAGGCCTTGATGGGGGTGATGATTATCTGCTGCAGCTCCTGCAGAGCATTTCGCAGATTCCCGCCTTCCAGCACATCCTGAGTGGGGAAAACACATCCAGGGTCACACGCTGACTGCCACAGCTCCATAGAATGACTATACAAGTGGAGTCAGACAGACCTTGGAGAGGGCTGGCAGAACCCTGAGTCCTACCACTTAGAAAAGGCATGTAAGGACACTGCAAGCTCACACACACTCAGGCACACATACATACACACGTGTATACACATATTCCCTTTCACCCCCCTTCAAAGTGGAGTTCCATGGGGCTCAGGAGGTGGTGATGCTGGGGCCTCAGGGTCCCACAAGGATGGAACCAGGAAGCAGTGACAGGGAAAGGGGAAAAGGCTGCAAAAACGCAGATATGGAAGGGGAGGGAGTGGTGAGAAAGTAAATAGAAAGAGAGATCATGCACACAGGGAGACGTTCTGCTCCATTGGAAATACTAGTCAGAAAAGGAAAACCCAAAGGAAACAGAGGGATTGAGTTAACAGTGACAAAGTCTGGAGAGAAAGACCAGGACACAAACGGAGGGAACCCTCTCAGCCACAGGCAGGTAAACCCTGTGATCTAACTTGTTCTTGGCCTCCCGAGGGCTGGGGAGGCCACCCAGAGACACTGGGAAGTCAGCTGGGAGATAGGGATACCAGGTCCTCACCTTCTCCAGGGACTTGAGCACACTCTGTCTCTCACGTAGCTTCTGGATGCTCAGGGCTATCTTGTGGCGGGCACCTTTGGTGACATTCTGTGGTAGGGGCAGAAGGGGACAGGAAGCTGGAATAAGAAGCTGAGGTACTTGGGGTGCCCTAACAAGGCCTGAAGAGACACCAGAGGATTGGGCTGCATGGGTAATGTCAAAATGGTGTTGTCCCCAACACCTCCCTGATGGTCCCTTGGGGCTTCACCTGAGACTCCAGATGCTGCTCAGTCAGTGTCATCATCTCCTCGTAGCTCATCTGTGAGAAGAGGGCTGCATACTTGTGCAAGCGGAGGCTCTTGAGCCATGAGGGCACATCTGTAGAAAAGGAGAGCAAGAGGTCAGGGGTCTGGACCTTGTGACTACGGCAGAGGAAGGGTCATGGCAGGGAGCAGTGTTTTGTAGTTTTTAATGTTCCATACATGGCGGGACCCCGAGGCCCCAACATCAGCCCACCTTCTCCTAAGCCCCATGGAACTCCACCTTGAAGGCGGGGGTGGAATATGTGTATAGAATGTTACCAGAGGTAACATTAAAAACTGCCAAAAACTGGGAGGAGTGGGGAAAAGCCCAGAGTCCATAAGCCACTTCTTCTTCTGCCCAGTCACACTCTTCTAGGTGGCCTTCCCTCATATCAGGACATCTGACCCTTCTGAGCTGCTTGACTTGATATATATTAGAAGGACCTCACTGATGTCCCTAAAAGTCTTCCTGGAACCTCTGTTCCATCAGCTATTGCTGTGTCAGGCTGGGGTGTCTGAGGGCAGGGGTTTCTCCCCCATCAGACCAGGGCCTATAGGCATCTCTCTGCAGATGAGAGCCCTAAAGGCAGGGACTCACTCCCCTCAGACCTGACACTGCCTACAGTAGGGTAGAGGGTAATGGGACAGGAAGTTGGAAGCTTCCCTTCTGTCTTCTAAGCTATGCAGAAGCCTCTCTCCAGAGGGTCCTAGGGCTGTCCTCCCGTCGTACCTTTCATGCCACTGCCGTCCTCCTGGAACGTGTTCCGGCTGGAGCCCTGCTCCTCCGTCTGCTCGCTGCCAGAGGAGGCCACGCTGCTCTGGGGCGAGAGGGGTGCGTGGTCGGGCGTGGTGAAAGCAGCCCGGGCCCCGAGCTCCTCTGGACTCGGCCACTCACCAGGGGCCTGGGGGCTCGTGGGGATGAGCGACATGGAGCGCTTCAGCGGGCTGGGGTGAATTTGGCAAGGGAGACCTGGCCAGAGGGGGGAGAGGCAAGAGGTCAGGTTTGGAGATCTGACCAGGAGATCATGCCCCCCGGTTGGTGCGATGGATGGCAGCTCAGCCCCAGAATCCAACAGTGGAAGGGGACCCTGGGATCAGAGGGCAAACACCTACCAGGTATTGCTCGTTCCCTCATTCCCCACACCCAACCTATCAGCAAGCTCTCAGCCACATCTCTGAATCTTTCCACTTTCTCTTCCAGCACCCAGGTCTGTCACTGGTGTCTGTTGCTGGAATTACTGCTACAGCCCCCTTACTGGTTTCTTGCTTTCATTCTTGCCTCCTACAGTTCATTCACCTTGCAGAAGCCATGTTGATCCTTCTAAAAATGCAAATCTGACCAAGTCAGTCCTTATTTCAAATCCCATCTATGACTTCCCTTCACACAGGATAAAATTCAAAATCTTCTACAGACCTACAAGGCCCTGTGTGGGACCTGGGCCCTGCTCATCTCTCCCAACTTACCCTTCAGTTCAAGCCTTTTTAGCTTTTGCTTCCCCACCAACCCTCATTTGTTCCTGCAACACTCAAGCTGTCCAACCTCAGGACTTGTGCACTTGCTCTTTCTTCTTGTCCTCTTGATCTTAGCAGTTGGCTCCATAAAGTCTCATCTCAAGCAAGCAACATCTCTTCCAAGGCCTTCTCTGAGTAGCTGCCCCCCACCAATCTTGGTTACTCTATCATATGACTCTTATTTATCTTCCCTTCAGCACCTGCCACAACCTGAAATAATTTAACCTAGTTATTCGTTTACATGCTTATTAACTGAACACCCCTGCTACGGTACAAGACCTGTGACAACAGGGACTTGTCCTGTCTTAAAGATCATTGTATCCTCTGTAATTACAGTAGGGCCTGGCCTGGAGGAGCTGCTTCATTAGCATTTGTAAAATAAATAACAAATGAAATGTATAAGGAATTAAATATCTAAAGTGCTTCCTCAACATCCCTGTCACTGGGCCTTACCACCTCCCAAAGATTTGTACTGAGCCAAAATCAGCCACCTATGAAGTCCAGTGACTCAGGGTGAATCCAGGCCTTCTTCCACAAGATTTTCATACTCTCCACCCATCCCATTCCTGAGGTAAGAAAATGGTTCCAAATTGACTTTAACCATCCTCAGGAAAGGGAAGGTTCCCATGAGCTTCCAGACCTTTCTTTGTAACTACTCCCTCTGCCTACCTCACTGCTCTTCTACCCTTACCTGCCAGCCACCTCAGCCTTCACTCCTCATTCAAGTGTTAGCTCTTCTGTGACTCTTTCCTCTGCATTCCCTAAAGCCCTGTGTTACTGCCTCAAGCCTAACATTTACTGCCTCCATCACCAGCCTGCCTCTTGCTGGGCTCATGTATATTAGGGCCACATTCTGAGGGCCTTGAAGGATAGGGTGAAGCTTCTCAATTTCAAGCAGTTGCAGGAATAGCAACCTCACTCAATGATTTCAGCATTGCCAGGGTCAGGTGCAGGTCATGATACACAAGAGCCTTCAGTTTCATAAATGACAATAGGAGGGCACCCACGGTCCGTTCTAAGGGTGCTGAGGGTACCTCTGAACCTGACACAGGGAATTCAAAAGTATCCAAAGTCATATAAAAAGATAAGGATACAAGGCCAAAACGCCTCACCCTGGTGGGTAGGTAAGAACATCAAGGCTCAGGAACAGAAGCACTTTGCCCCAGTTGCCAGAGGGAGTTGGGAGGCAGCAACGGAAGAACCCTAGCTTTGTTTCTGATGGAAAGGCTGGGATTCCTGCCAGTGCTCCACTGAAACTTAACCCAGGAAGGCCAACCAGCCTGGTACAGGCCCCAAACCACCTCCTTCGTCTGTGACAGTATCTATGCTCCTAGCCAGCCAGGTAGTCACCTGAAGAGAGAGCAGTGTACTGATCCACCCCCTAAGACTAGCCTCCATCTCTGCCTGTGATCTGTGGGGTCCTCTTCTTACAGTTTCTTCCAAGAGTCTGAGTTCCCAGAAAATGGCACCTTTTGGGCCCTATGGAATTCGGTAGACTTTTTTTTTTTGCCTGTCTTGGTGCCTATGGCCTCCTCCTCTTCCCTTCTCAGCCAAGGAGGAGGCAGGCCAGGCTGAGAGGGCAGGAAATTATCCTGATTGGAATGATCGTGCAGTTCCTGAGGAACCCTGCTTGGCCAGGCACTGGGGTGGAGGCTGGCCACAGCATGAGAGCTATAAAAACAGGAATGCCGGCTGGAGATTCAGGGCCTCACACTCTCCAAGAAACCCTGGTCTGTCTTTGGCAGCACCCCAAACCCACCCTGCCTGCCCTTATAGGCCAATCCTTGCTCCCCACTCAAAAATATTTTAATGGTTTCCTGTTTCCTGAACTGCCTGTAAAAATTTAAAAGCTTCACCCTATCCTTCAAGGCCCCCCAGAATGTGGCCCTCATATACTGCGATCTGGGAGTCAAGACCGACTTGCATTAAAATTCTGGCTCTGCCACCTATTAACTTTATGGTGCTGGGCAAGTCATTTCATCTGCCCCCTCTGTCTCCATTTCTAAGTGATATCCTTGGCACAGGGGCAGGCACATGGTAAACATGAATGTCTACTACTGCTATGCATCTCTCCATCCTAGCCAGACCTGTCTGTATACTCTAATTTTCCGCCCCTCTGCCTTCATTTCATGCTGTGTCCTCTACCTGGAATGCCCAACTCCTTTCTCTCTTCTGTTCCAACCCTCCTATCTGACACTGTTCCAGGTTAGTGAGTCCTTTAATAGCTGCTGTCCTCATTGGGGAGAAGAAATGTATGGGCACCCTGCCTGGGTAAACTCTCCCCTTGATGATGTCTGAGCATCTATGGGAGGGTCACTTTTAGGTGGAGGAAATGTAGCATAGTAGTTAAAAGTATGAGCTGTAGAGCCAGACTGCCTGGATTTAAATTCTGGCTATACCACCTAAGGCAGGTGACTTTTCTATGACTCAGCCAAAGAATTTATATATGTAAAGTTCTCAGAACAGCTTTTGAAAAAGACTGAATACTCTCAATAATCTTGACTTACTGTTATTAATATATTTTCCCAATTTGGATCCAGGAACTGATGCTCTGAGACTAACACACTTTGGGTTGCTAGAGGTGCCAGAAATACCCTGCTTTCCCTCACTTTCTCCGATTCGTACCAGCACCTGGGAGGGAGGTGGCCAGGACATCCATAGGAAACTGAGGAAAGAGGCTCAGGGCATCAAGGATGTGTACCAGGTGCCACAGAGCTGGGCACTAGAGACCCAGGGCTTGTCCTACCTGCTGGCATGGATGACATTTCACTGCCACTCTCTCTTGGCTTGCTTTAACTAGTATCAGCCAGCCAAAGGGGGCCAGCCATGCTGAGGTTAAATCTTGGAAATTGGGCAGACCAGGCGCTCAGCGGATTAGCTCCGCCTTCGGCCCAGGGCCTGATCCTGGAGACCTGGGATCGAGTCCCATGTCAGGCTCCCTGCATGGAGCCTGCTTCTCCCTCTGCCTGTGTCTCTGCTGCGCGCACATGCGCGCTCTCTCTCTCTCTCATGGAGACTGCTTCTCCCTCTGCCTGTGTCTCTGCTGTGTGCGCTCGCTCTCTCTCATTAATAAATAAAAATAAAATCGTAAAAAAAAAAAAAATCTTGGAAATCTCTCAGCTGGAGTCAGGTAATATCACCTCACCAAGCCTTGGAAATGCCACTCTCTCTCAGCCTGTTCATTTCAACCATTATTTCAAAAGCTCACTAGAACACCTGCTCCTCCTGGCTCACCCTAGCATCTGGGGTGCTTTCCAACACAGCCCTTTCCAGACCACTTAGTTGGAGGACAGCGTAGTGGTCAGGGGGTAGGCTCTGGTGTCAGATTGCTGGCGTCTGAACCTTGGACTGTTCTACTACTTGTTTTGTGTATAACCTTGAATACATGACTTCACGTCTTTGAGTCTCTGTATCACCTCTAGAATGGGGCTGAGGATAAAGTTGCGACTAGGAATAAATGAGATCATGTCAGAAAAGTGCTTACAGCACAGTCAATGCTCAACAATGTTATCAACTAATATCTTACAGTGTGAACTACATCTTACATAACAGGCCTACAAACACAAATTTCTCAGAAATAGTGCTGATAGTTGAAGCCATATACACAAATCCACAATGTCTAAGCTAGAAAGGACCTTAGATTATGGCTATTAACTCAAGGCTTTCAGAGGCCCAGTAGGTATCAGATATGCCCAAAAGAAGGTGATGGGGGTAGAGGCTGGGGCACATGTTCAGGGTTTTAAGGGGTGGTCAATATTCAACCCCATCTTATTGTTACTACAGGATTACAGCGCTTGAGTTGCCAGGTTTAACTTTTTAAGAGAAACTGAAATCTGGATTTTTAGGGGAAAATCCCTAATTTCTTATGTCATCAAATTTATTTTAAAACATAACAAGACAGGGACGCCTGGGTGGCTCAGCAGTTGAGCATCTGCCTTTGGCTCAAGGAGTAATCCTGGTCCAGGGATCAAGTCCCACACTGGGCTCCCTATGAGGAGCCTGCTTCTCCCTGTCTCTGTTTCTGTGTCTCTCGGGAATAAATACACTTTTAAAATAAATTAATAAATCAAACATAAAGACAAAACCAAAGTTTCACTGAGTTTGGGCTCAACAAAACACGTCTGTAGGTCAGATATGGCTCCCACAAAGCCAGTTTACAACCTCTACACTGCCTCATAAAGCTGAGGTCCAGGGATCCCTGGGTGGCGCAGTGGTTTGGCGCCTGCCTTTGACCCGGGGCGCGATCCTGGAGACCCAGGATCGAATCCCACATCGGGCTCCCGGTGCATGGAGCCTGCTTCTCCCTCTGCCTGTGTCTCTGCCTCTCTCTCTCTCTCTGTGTGACTATCATAAATAAAATAAAAATTAAAAAAAAAAAAAAAGCTGAGGTCCAGATAGATTTATGTGACTTGCCCAGGGCCAAAGAGCAAGTGGAGAGAGAGCCCAGTTTGACCTTTTCCAAGTAGGCATGACCTCCTGGGATCCCTACTCCCTCACCTGCATTTGCGTTGCTCCCAATACTGTTGATGGCTGGCGGCACTGAGCTGGATGGGTGGAAGGGCACATGTCCATTTTCCCGGGGTGGCTTGTCCTGCCAGCCTGGCCCAGCCTCCCCAGGACCCAGCTCTGCAGGGCCCCCCCACTCATCTGAGCCTTGGCGTGAGTGGTAGGTGGGTTCAGGCCGGGTGCGGAAGCCACTAGCCAGTCGCTCTTCCAGGTGGCTCAGCCAGAGGGCCAGTGCATTGCGGTCCTCCAGTGTGGTGGCTGGGTGGATGAGGGCATAAGAGAGTAGCTGGCGGCTCTCCTCAATGAAGGCATTGCTCTCGATCGAGTAGGCCAGCACTTTCTGCAGCAGCCTCATGTACTCTGACTTGGCCTCCGTGTTGCCTGGCTGAAGCAGGGGCAGGTGGGACAGCAGGAGGGATACCACTTTCTCTTTGGACTCCTGCTGCCACTGGCTGACGATGGCTGCAGAGGGGACAAAAGGAAATGTCAGGGGAGCCAGGGTGGGGGACTCTACCCAGGAGTGGTGCCTATGGCCTGTCCCCCTCAACTCCAATCTCTTCTCCCTTGATGACCCCTTAGCTTGCCCTTCATATTGATGACACCAAACGCACTCACCGTATTTCCAGAGTAATTTTTCCTGGTTCCACATCACTCCTACTCTCCAACACCTGCTGTGGCTCCCCATTAGCCAAACTTACTACTCTGGAATCTGAGCTCCTCCTGCCACCCCCAGGCCTGCTCTTCTCATTATATTTGCGTTATCTTCATGGTCTCTATGCACACCCCCCCCTTCACCCTATCAAAAGAGCCTCCTTCCTGACAGGAGATGACCACGGAATATGATGGTTAATAGTTTGGGCTCTGGAATCAAGCACAGTCTGGACCTTCCAACTTATTAGCTAGACCTGGAACCTCACTGAGGAGTGATTTCCTCACCTGAAAAGTTTTGGAGAAAATTACACTACCCAATTCACAGTGTTGCTCTGATAGCCAAAAAGCTAATAAAGAATGTAAAGTGACCATGATTATAGAAAGAATGTATTTACTAACTGCTTGCTGTTTTGTTTTTTTTTTTAAACTGGTCTCTTTGCCTCCAGATTTTCCCCCTCCATTGGCTCCCATTCACCAACATGGATTTCTCTTCCTAAAAGCATACCAAGATGTCACAATGGCAACCACAACCAAAGGACTTCAGTTCAACAACTCCTAGCCAACAGCACCCTCATTTTTAGGGTACTTCCCACCTCCTAGTCCTCTAGATAAAGATTTAGGATACCCCCACCTTCTCTGGGGCTCTCCCCATGATCACATTCATTCAAGTTTCCACACTCACTCTGAGATCCAAGGCTTGAGCCGGCAACAGTCTTCTTTCTGCCATCCAAATTCTAGATCTTTTAATGGACTGCCTAAATCTGCCCTCATCTGGGAAGCCTCCCTGCTGCTCCATGCCATAGTGATCTGTGATGTCTTTTTTCCATCCCACAGTGTAAGAGCCTAAGTCTCTCTGTAGAGATGAGCCAGGTTGCACCTGTTGATCCAGAAGGGTACTCCCCAAGACTTGGCCACATAAAGGAGGCCTTGGGAAGGAACCATTACAGGTCTGACTATCCTCCTTGAAAACCTTGTTACCACTTCAATGGAGTGGAGGATGGGAGAAAATGCCGACAAGGCAAAGGAAAGGGACAAAGAATACCAATACTTGAGAAAAGAGATAATGATCAAGGACTGGGACCAACTACATCCTCCACACTGGGCAAGTGAGCTCAGACTCTTAGCCAGAATGACGATTCGCAAATAAGGGTGTTCTGAGAGATGAGCTACTGGGCTATTGGTAAGGTCCTGGAAAGGGGCAAAGGAGCTGGCTCTAACTTGACAGAGCTAGGACCTCAGAGGGGTGAGTGATGAAAAAGAACAGGCAGAGATGTGGCTTATTCCCACCTCGCCCACTTATGTTACTCTGGGCAAATGTGGTAACTTCACTGAGCTTTACTTTCTCTGTCAAGTGCGGGTCAGAATCATTCCTACCTGGCAGAGCTACTAGGAATTAAGTAAGACCATAACACAAAGTCCTCAGCAAATATTAGCTGCCCTATCTAACATCACGGTTATTATATCTTACCGTGGCTCCTTCTTTTCAAATACCCACAGAGATTCTTTTTTTTTGTTATATTTTATTTATTTTTATTTATTCATGAGAGACACAGAGAGAGAGGCAGAGATATTAGGCAGAGGGAGAAGCAGGCTCCATGCATGTAGCCCAATGTGGGGCTCGATCCCAGGACTCCAGGATCACGCCCTGAGCCAAAGTCAGATGCTCAACTGTTGAGCCACCCAGGTGTCCTACCCACAGAGACTCTAAAGCCACATGCCCACTCCTGGTCCTGGAAATGGAGAGGAACAGACATATATAGGGAGCCTCAGAATTCTAGGCATCTATAGATTTCCAGTGAGCCCTGATCTGGATCCCTGTGCATCTGACCGTGTCTCAAACCAATTTCCTAAAGGCTTAAGATTCCAAGGGCCACTGGTCTCCTCTTACAGGGAGCCTTGGATGAAACCGTGAGAAATACCCGTTCACACATCTTTTTTTTTTCTTTTTTTTTTAAGATTTTATTTATTCATGAGAGACACAGAGGGAGAGGGAGAGAGAGGCAGAGACAGGCAGAAGCAGGGTCCATGCAGGAAACCTGATGCAGGACTTGATCCTGGGACTCTGGGATCGCGCCCTGAGCCAAAGGCAGATGGCTCAACCGCTGAGCCACCCAGGCGTCCGCGTCCCCATCTCTTTCTCTTAATGACCTGTGTGGAAATCTATGGTCTAGAAGTTCACATAAATTTCTAACTCTGCTTAAATCTGTAGCTCTAAGAAAATGAATTACACACAACTCCTAACTCCTGGCCATATAACTTCACATTCTCTTGGCCTGGGACTTTCTGCTCTAAGCTATCTAGAGAAGCTCTGTTCAAGTGCCCAGGGATTCATCCATTAATGCAAAGTCATCAATTCCTGTTATGCCCATAGTATTGGCCAAAACAGAACAGTAATATTACACAGTAATAGTAACAGGTAGCATTTATTGAGCATTTACTATATTGCAACATGTCGTTGAGCATGACTATATGTCACACTGCGCTAAGAACCTCACCTCAACCCTCTTTTAACATCCCCATCTTATACATGAGGGACTAGACTTCAGGAGGTGGAATCACTTCCCCAAAGCGACAGACCAAGAACTGAACCCAGGTCTGTCAACCTCTGGAAGGGGGAGGAACTTTTACCCACAACATTATACTAGTTCTCCAATGCCAAGTCTCTTGTTCTCCACCCCTTCACCGTCCCTGGCTTTCCAGATCTCAAGCAGGACCTGCCACTCAAGGTTAGGAAACCTCATCTCCTCGATCTTCTCTTGAATCAGCTTCCCATGACTACAAGGCTGACTCTTAGGTCATCTCCATATCTAAGGATGTTTCCAAGGTGGGACAGGCCTTCCTGACATCAGGAAGCCTTCACCTTTCCCACCATCCTACCTCCATCTGGCACTCAATCACAAAGGAACGAACATCCTGGTACCCCATTTTCCTGACTTAATCCCAGAGTTTTTTTGCTCTTGATGAGAAGGAAGAAGAAATACAGTGATGAAGATTAGGGACAGAAAGTCAAAGACTTGCATCTGAGTTGTGTTATATAGTTGCCTGGGCAATATGCTTCCTCCTCTGCAAAAGGGGGATTAGAGGGCTGAGAGGATTTAGGGAGACAATGCACGTAAAGCACCTGACAGTCTGCCCACAGTAAGCACTTACTATGTGACTCAGTGATTGGTGTTTTTCTCCTTTCTCCAGCAGTCAGCCTACCCCCTACCAGCCCTACCCTGATGTTCTCAATTGCTGTTGTTTAGGCCTTAAAGGGTAGCCAGAGGCATCTGGGACAGAGAGAAGCCTTGTCTAGTCCCTCCCCCACCCCAGAATACTGCCAGGACCCCAGCTACGGGACACAGCTTCTCCTCTGGTACTGCCAGGGGACGTGATAGAACAGCCCCAAGGGTTGGGCTCAATGAAGGACCTTGTTCTACTACGGAGAAAGGAGAGAGTGGTTTTGGACGACTGGAGACTGACCCTGGGGAAATGTGTGTTCATGTGTCTGTGCAGCGGTGCGGTGGGGAGGGCGGGCCTCCCATGACTGGGAAGCATCAGTGAGCACTGGAACTGGTCCAAGGAATTTGCGCAGCCTCAGGCCCCTTGGGGTGAGCCCAGCTGGGGCTGCAGATGACGGGTGGGGATGAAACTTTGTTTCCTGCTCAGATCAGTAAAGTCTGGCCCAGAGTTGAGGCACAGCAGGGGCCCAATGAATACCTGCACAATTGAACCCAGATGGTCTCCTGGAAAGTAGTGGTGTATGTGTATAATGTGCCCTCTTGAGGATTATAGGTAACCTGACCTCAGGTAACCCTGTCTCATGTCCTAGCAGAGTATAGGGAGTAAGAGCACAGGTTCAAAAGGGAAACTTGCCTGGATTCAAAATCTACTTCTGCTTCTATGACCTAGCTCAACATAACTGTTGACCAGTCCTTTAACTTCTCTGAACCTGGGCTCTTCTGTATAGCAAGGGTAGTAAAAACCCTATGTCACAGGGTTGTTGTAAAGATTCAATGGGACAGTTGTACAAAGCACCTGACATGGGTTAAGTACTTCATGCATTTTAACTATTAGTGCCATTGCTTCTGGTTGAAGATCTAGAGCCCACATTGTTTTGGGGCTGTGGGGAGCAGTTAACATAGAAGGGCACATCTGGGACTCCCCCTTAAGATTCCCAACAGGGGTGGGGATTTTCATGCAGTTATTTACCAAAAACAGACATGTCTCTGGTTCCTTTGAGCTAAAGGCACAATAAGCAATGATGAAATGCTGGAGGTGGGCGGATGGGGGAGGGGGCTGGGGAATGCCATGATGCCAATGGCTGCTTCTCCCCAAGCTGCAAACCTGGATTCTGCAGGCATGGAGAGGACCAGAGAGACTGTCCATGAGTACCCTCCTTAGCCAGGTGACCGGAGAGAAGTACGTCATGACCCTGGGTCCTGGAAAATCATAGGAGCCAAATATATCTTGGAGACTGCCATAAGAGCAAATCCATTTTTATGTGCTGGGCTGTTGCAACAATCGTGGCAGCCTCAGGCACTCGTCACAGGGGCTGGGGTTTGGCTGCAAACACGCCCTTCTCTACCTCACCCCAGCTCGCACAAACAAGGGGGAGGGCCAGGGGGCTCACATTTTTGTTTGATGAACTGTGTTAGTAGAGCTTGAAAGGGGAGGGTGGAGACATGAGAGCTGAGCTCTGGTGACTCATTCAGCCTCGGCCCCCTCCTGACCTCAGTTTCCCCACCCAGATTCAGTGAGCCAGAGAGGGAGGAGTTTAAACCTGCTGGATACAGGGACTCTGACTCAGAGGACAGGAGGAGGAAAGAAATGCAGGAAATGTGGCCCAGGAAGCTGAAGGAACAGGGAGGGAAGGGGATTTCAGCTTCCCTGGCTCTACCCTTTTGGTCCAAGTCAGCATAGGGGGAAAGAAGGAGCCAGGATTACTGTTATAGCTCCAAACAGGCAGGGAACATAGCACTGGAAAGGGAATAGGGAAGACAGCAAAGGGAAAGCTGAAGTCTCTCTTTCCCTGTTCCAGAGACTCGTAGGGTACGGTTTTTCTCTTCCTGGGTATTGTTTCAGATTCTGCTTCCATGAAACCAATACTGGCTGCCTGAGCTGGGGGACTTCCCTAAATCCTTCCAGTTGCTTAAGAGGAAAGAATAGCCCAGACCAGATCCCCCTTCCACAGCCCCAACTCCCCACTCCCAGTAGGCTGCATACCCTCACCAGCTTCCCAGGCCCACCCAGAATCAGTATCAGTGTTAAGACAAGTCGTTCTCTACTGGATGCACACAAGAGCCAACTAGAGAGCTTAAAAAATATCAGATTTGCTGGGGATAAGACCCAGGCCTCAGATTATTTTTATAAAGTCCTTAAGTGATTCTGACATGAAGCCTGGGTTGGGACCCACTTGCCTAGATCAAGCCCTCTGCACTCCCTGACCTTCCTGAGGAGAAAGAAGGGCAGTGGGCAGCTCTGACCTAAGTGTGGACCCAGGGTCCCCGTGGGAGAACTGAAGGAAATGGCAGGGCTGAGTGGTTGGGACACAGAGTACAAACCCAGAAAATGGCAGAGGATCTGCCTCACTGTTCAGCCACCCTGGTCTGAAGGAATCTAAAAAGCTAGAGTTTTAGATCCTATAAGGGGAACTCTTCCCTGGGGATTGGTGTACCAACTGAATTCAAGATTTGATCTGTGGAGTAAGTGTACATCTTGGTGGTGGTGGGGGGGAACAGATTCTCTGAAGTGTCCATCTCTTAAAATATTAAGAACTATTTTTTTAGAAGAATGTACTGGGCTCCAAAACAAGTAATATACTTGGCTATGGCTCTACCTTCTTTGGTGTGTCATTTCAGAACCCAAGAGGCGCTTGGAGAGTATCTAGAACCCTCTCACTCTTCAGATATGGATCCTCAGGCTCAAGTGGGGTGGAGCGGGTCCAACACACGAGAGGTGTTAGTGGCAGAGATGGATCTAGAACTCTGGATGTCCTGATTCCTATTCTTAAGTCCCATGCCAAATGAATCATCCAGCAGGATATCAACTCTCAAACTGCCTAGTCAGCAGAACCTAAGTTTGTGTTCCCAGGCCCATCCCCTCAGGATTCTGACTTGGGTCTGGCTGGTGGTAGGGAAGGGACTGGATTTTAACAGTCACTACCCCCCAGATGAGGTGGATGGTGATGCAAGTTTGGGAAACAAGGGAATGGGAAGGCCATAATGAACAAAGGAAGAGGAAAAAGTCAGAAGGTGCATAGTTCTTCCCACAAGGCAGGCCTCTAGGCCTTGGAAGTAGCTTCCTCCTTCACAAATAAGGCAAGGAGGCTGTTCTACATGCTGGTGGGACCAAGGCAGGTGACACAGGGCTCCTTGGTCTTGGAGCCCCCCTGTCTATTATGAAAGAGGCATTCAAGGCTCTATAGAATTTACCTCTGTGATCACTTCTCTCTCCAGGCATGCTCTGTTCTACTCCTGGCATGCTACTTGCCGACTCTAATATGCACCATCATCCTCCTTTTGCTTCTCGCATTCTAAGTTTTCCCTACCTCTCCATCTAAGTACCAGCTTGTAATCTTCTCACCATCTGACATGGAGCTATGGCTGAAAACCTTACTTCATATTTTCATTCACCAGTGAATTTATTCCTTATCAATTCTTAACCCTGGTGAGGCATTACTCCCCAAATCCCAAAGCAAACTACCTAGGTTGGGCCTCAGTTCTTGGTATAAAGTGTACCATGTCTTTCAAGGCAATGTGATAAAAGAGAATATTTATTTATTTATTTTTAAAGAGAGTTTGTTTGTTTGAGGAAGGGGGCGCACATACACCCTTGTGCGCAGGTGAGCAGGGGGAGGAGCAGACTCTGTGCTGAGCGTAGAGCCCAACATGGGGCTCTATCTCACCACCCTGACATCATAACCGGAGTTGAAATCCAGAGTCAGAGGCTTAACTGACTGAGCCACCTAAGTGCCTCTAAGGAGTATTTTAAACGCATATCACTTCAAACTAGCAGTTCCACAGAATTCTAGGAATTTATCCTAGAGATACTTAAAGAGTACTGATTACAGCACTGTTTGTAAAGCAAGACCAAACATACCATATGGTAGAGCTTACTGATCAAGAGTAAGAGCTCTAAAGTCAAATTCCAGTTCCACCTCTGACCAGTTGTATGACCCAGGCAAGTCACTAACCCTCTCCAGAACTCAGTCTCATCAATAAAATGAAAGAACAATAAGACCTACCTTACAGAGCTGTTGTGAGGGTCAAACGAGTAATAAAGATAAAACTTTGTTGGATACTCAGGTAGGGCTCCATAAATATTACCTATTCTAGCTTTAATGCAGCCACTAACAATGAAATATATATACATGTATACATCCTGAATATGAAATCCTCAAGTTACATCATTAAGTGAAATTGATTAATATGCACAGTGTTCTGCTCTATGTATTAAAATGACCAAAACAATGAAGCAGCTGAAGGGAGAATATGTGTGTACTTAAACACATACAGATTATCTCACAAAACATACACAAGCTGGCAATATGGAAGTATGGAAGGGAGGAGACCTTGCTTTTTACCTTTCATACAGTTTGATTTTACAAGTCTTGAAAATAAACACTAAAATTAAACATGCTCTAATAAAAAAAAAAACAGAATAAACACTACTGGTGGTTCTCATATACAGACGAGATTGGCACCCAGTACACATGCAACTGCCAGCTCAGGATGGGGTGGTTAAGGATGTATGCCAAAGCTGTGTAAGACAATGGCCTGCTCCAAAGGAGTTCTACTTTGGGGGCGGAGCCATATCACAACCAAGAGCTCTTGCTCTTGATGCTAGAGAGCAGAGAGGTGTCTTCCCTGGCGGGGAGTGAGGGGGAATGTGAAGTTGCTGAGCTCTGAGCCTTCCACAGCCTTGCTAGGTTCTTGCTTTCACCGTCCTCCAGTGAGGGACTTAAACTAATGTGACTCCTGGCCCAAGGAGCCATCTCATCCTATAACTATGATGCTTCAGTGACTTATACATAAAAATTCAGAGAAATATAGGTGACTGTTACGAAAGGCAGGTGGACCTAGGGAGATAAGGGAAGCCAGGCAACTCTGTGGCTCCCCAGGCCCAATCTAAGCAGCCCACGTGGATTTCCTCACCTATAAAATGGGGATAACATTTCATGGGGTTGTTGTGAGGACTAAATCAGTTCCTGACAATAAAAATTTACATTTTTGAGCGTTTACTATATGACAGGTACTCTTCTCAGAGCTCACAACTACCCTAGAAGGTAAGTATAGTTAATGTATTGATTTTAAAGATGAAGAAACCAAGGCTCAGAAAGATTATTTCATTATATCACAAAAGACAGAACTGGGATTTAAACAGTCTAACTAGGGATCCCTGGGTGGCGCAGCGGTTTGGCGCCTGCCTTTGGCCCAGGGCGCGATCCTGGAGACCCGGGATCAAATCCCACATCGGGCTCCCGGTGCATGGAGCCTGCTTCTCCCTCTCCCTGTGTCTCTGCCTCTCTCTCTCTCTCTGTGACTATCATAAATAAATAGATAGATAGATAGATAGATAGATAGATAGATAGATAAGAAAGAAGATAAACAGTCTAATTCTAGAGCCACTGAAGACTACTTTCAAAGTTAAAATACAAGTAAAGCCAGTACTTGGCTTGTTTTAAGGGTTCAATCTGAACTATTATCATGGGGAAGAAGGTGGGAAGGATTTGGATGCCCTGACACAGAGCCCCTGGGTCCCCTTCTGGTAGCTTTCAGGTACATGTGACTTGCCTTCTTTGGCCTCCAGTTCTCTCACCCAACGCTGAGGTCAAGAACTCTTCAACCAGCCCTGTGGAGGCCTAGAGACCAGAATGGCTTCAGCAGTGTCCCCTGAGAGGGTTCTCTGGCCTGACTCTTGTCTATGACTGGGTCTCTTGGGACAGATGCTTCTAGAGAAGCCTAGCTCAGCCATCCCAACACCAACCTCAGTACCTCTCTACTGAGTGCTTACGGAACAGATATGGATTATATCTAAATTCAAAACTCTCTTGAAGCTATTTATGCCTTAAATCCAACTCACCTTTGGGAGTAAAGAAAAGTTTTGGAAGAATTCTAAAATACATAAATACATGTACATAAATACATTTTGGAAGAATTCTAAAATTTCCTCCTAGCTCTGGTGTCTTACAGCTTGAGAAATGAATTATTTGCTCAGCTTCCAACCCCCTTTCATAGGTAATGACTTTAGTCTCCTCCTCTGTCACATAGATAGGCTACCCTATAGAATTTTTCCTCTGCTATGGGTTGTTTCCAGTTCATACTGACCTCCCCAGTAACCCACCATTCCACATTTCTTAGCACCATTGTGGGGGTGGGCCTCCTCACCCCTCTGACATCTGCTCATTCCAGGTCTCCCTTTCACTGTGCTTGTCTCTAGGGGTGGAGACTCACCAGCACTGTTGGCCTCCGACTCCAGCAGGTGGATGTCATTGCAGTCCGCCAGTGAGTGCTCCAGGCAGAGCTGCAGGAAGCGGGCCTGGGTGCGAGTAACCCGCTTCAGAAGTGACAGCAGGGCCACCGTCTGCTCACACTCATTCCAGCCCTTGAACCAGCCAGCGAGGATGCCCACCTGGTCTCGGAACATCATGGTGCCGGGCCTAGGGCCAGGGTGGGGGGGACGGCGGTGGCGAGGGCCAGCGCCGTCACATGGTCTCGGCTCGGGGCTCCTGTTACCTCTCCCCTGAGGGCCAGGGCTTGAGGATGTTCCCTGGCGTGTTGGCAACGGGCAGTGGGGGGAGGAGGAAACCTGCTCACATCGGGGGAGGTCTTGGTCCAGCCACACCTCTCCAGGCTCCTAGAAAAGGAAGCAAGGGGGTCAGACAGAATGAAAAGGCTGGAGCTGGCCTGGTTAGTGTGGGTTGAGGTGATAAGGAGGCTTCTCTCAGAGTATCTGCTCTGCTGAGCCCCTGGGGAAAAACATGAAGCCACTACCAGATACTAAACTAATTTTCCTTCTAGTCTCCAGATCCAGAGAAAAGGCTTGATTAGGACTCAGAGAGACTAAGAAGATGCTGCCCAGAGGGCCTGGCTATTATAGGGCTAAAGGAAGTAGAGTAAGTTGGTAGGATTTTCCAGAAATGGGAAACAAAAGAGACAGTACACTACAGAAAAAGATCTGAGTTAATGGAGACCTGGTCCCAGGTGACATGTGACCTCCAGCACATGCTTTGACCTTGCTGATCTCTGGCCACCCGTTCTGAGAGTGGAAAGGAGTGACTGCTCACCTGCTAAGAGGACACCATAGAGTTTATATTATTTCAATCTAAGACTCACAAAGCTAAGATGTAAGTGGATGATGGGGTGGTAACTCCAGTGGAGATCCAGAGTATGCAAATAGCTAACTGATCAATAACTTCCTCAGTGCCCAAAGGTAAGGACATGCACAAAGGCTTTTTCAAAGATTTTCAACGGGCTGGGGGAATCTCACCTCCTTTCACTCTGGAAAAGGTGCAGCTGTGCTTTCTAAGATCTCACTCTTCTCTGCTCTGAGGTGAGTCTCCCCAGACCTCTTCTTCATTCCCCTGAAGGCTACTCCTGACCCAAGCCCCCTGGGTTAGGAGGTCCCCTTGGCTTCCAAAGATGCCAGACTGTCAGCCAGGTTCCTAAGAGCACAGAGGATGCCAACCTGAGAAGGGTCACATCCAAAGTAAAAAAACTCCCAAGTAGTGTCCAAATTCCTCTCTTAGACAGGAACTATACAGGAGTTGTGTTAACTGGGCAGACAACAGACCTATTCTTCAGTTGACTGATTTTTGGACACTACTCTGAAGCCTTTTTCTAAGTGTCTTGAGCTCCAGGTCTCCACTCACATTTCCCTGTCTCTCTTGCAACCAGTGCCTTGGCTCTATCCCCAAACCACATTTGGCTCCATCTCCCTCTGGCTGTCAAAGGACTGAGAACTCCACACAAAGACCCACTGAACCTGCTGGGTTCAGGTCTTAGGGAACTACTACCATCTCCCTGAACTTCCATGCTCTTGCTGAAGAGGGCTGTTTGGTGTATCTGATGATGCATGTGACTTACCTGGCAGATCCTCTGTGGGATACCTAAACAGAGCAAACTTTTTTTTAAAGTTTATTTTCATTAATCCTTACACCCAACACAGGGCTTGAACTCATGACCCTGAGATCAAGATTTGTACACTCTTCCAGATAGTTGAGCCAGCCAGATGCCCCCAAAAATATTTTTATTTTTTTTGAAGATTTTATTTATTTATTCATGAAAGACACACAGAGAGAGGCAGAAACATAAGCAGAGAGAGAAGCAAACTTCCTGCAAGGGAGCCTGATGTGGGACTCGATTCTAGGATTCCAGGATCATGACCTGAGCCAAAGGCAGATGCTCAACCACTGAGCCACCCAGGCACCTCCCTTAAAAAAAAAAAAAAAAATTTTTTTTTTTTCAAAAATTTTTTAAAAGGAAATCAAATGTTGCCTCCTGGCTTAAATCCTCCAATGACTTCCCATTGCACTTAAATAAAACCTAAACTAAACCCTGAACGTATCTTGACCTACAGGGCCTTGCAAGACTCCTGTGCCCCCTTCCAACCTCATCTTGTTCCAAGTTTTCTTTTTCACTGGGGGAATTCTCTTCCCCCAGATCTACTTATGGTTGGCCCCTACTTGTCACTCAGGTCTCAGCTAAATGTTATTTCCTCTGAGAGAGCTTCCCTGATCATCCAATCTAAGGAATGTCACACTAATGATATTTGTTCTATATAATTTGACACCCTCAGGTCTCATCTTATTTATGTTTGTTGTTTCTCCTTCCATCAAAAAGCAAGCTATATGGTCACCCAGTGCCAGAACAGTGATTGCCACATAGATGATGCTCAACATGTATTTGTTGAAACAATGAATAAAGGTGAAGAGCATGGAAGCCACAGATGGGATTTCTACAGCCTCAAGGTGAGAAGATGATAGGAGGAATGGCCCACAGGATGATAAACAGATTTAGAAAACTTGTCCTAAGAGAAAAATTTGAAGGCACTGAGGAAATTTCCCCAGAGGAAGAGAAAACTCAGAAGGAATGACATAACTGACTTTGAATATGAAAGGGTAGCACACAGAAGAGGAATTAGATTTTTTTTTTTTTTTTACTCCAGAGGAGAACAAGGGAAGGTGGCTATAAGTGAGAGGTGACATGGGAGATGTTGAGAGTCAAGAAAATTCAGTTCTAGTCTTGCTCCAGATATGATTCACTTTAATCTTCGAGCTACTCTGTTTCCCTTCTCTGTAATATGTAAGATAAGGAGTTAGACGGGATCAGACACAACAAATGGGTTTTACCTCACAGGCTAACTCCAAACGATTGGTAGTGGCTGCTTGCGGCATTGTGGTGAGAAGAATCCTCAAGAAATGAAGGAATAGGAATACTCATCAAAGGACAATGATTGGGAACCCTGGGTGGCACAGCGGTTTAGCGCCTGCCTTTGGCCCAGGGCGCGATCCTGGAGATCCAGGATCGAATCCACGTCGGGTTCCCGGTGCATGGAGCCTGCTTCTCCCTCTCCCTCTGCCTATGTCTCTGCCTCTCTCTCTCTCTCTCTCTCTCTCTCTCTCTCTCTCTGTATGACTATCATAAATAAATAAAAATTTAAAAAAAAAACAAAGGGCAATGATTAATAAATTGGGGGCACATTTCACACAATGGGATATTGTATAGCTATTAAAAACATGCTTGATCCTGATAGCAGAATATATAAAACATAACAGAACTATACATAGTGCTTGATATTTTGTAGCATTTTGCTAGTTGTAAGTAAACACATATTATTTTTATAATTTTTAAAGAATTTTATTAAAAAAAGTTTTAAGGTTGCATTCTACTTTCCACCTCAGTGAGAAAGAACACCGTGATTGATTATCAATGTTTGTCCTGGATGCAGGATGGATGAGTGGTAGTTCACATGCCTGAAAAAATCAGTTTCCCTTCCCAGCTCCAGCATTTTGTGGCTTTCAGCCCCAAGGAGACAGCAGCTGCCTCAACATAAGGAAGAATTTTAAAATAATATAGCTGTCCAAGAATGGAACTGGCTGCCATGTGAGGAGGTAATAAGCTCCCTGGCTGCTGGAAGTGGTCAAGTGGAGGCTAGATGAACATCCCTTGGGAGTGGGAGGGATTCCTTCACTGGGTGGCAACTCATAAGATAGAAGGACATGTTACTATTTCAGAGAGAACATTTGTGACGAGAGGTTTGATATGCCAACAGCATTTACGGCAAAAAGATGACCAAATCCACAAACAGACCAAAGTTGTGCACTCTTTCCCATAAACTTTTACTGGGTTGTTACTCTTCCTAAGCAACAGCACTGTGCCCCCCAAATAAGCTGCTGACTAGCTTCTTTGCCAAACCAAACGCTATAGGCAAAGCTGTGGGACAGAGCAGGGTCTCCAACATGACACTCAATAAAAGTCAGGTTTTTAATAAAGCAGGCTGATGAGAACTATGGGGAGTTGAAAAGCACATACATTGTCTGAAGGGGGAAATCACTTATTTTAGCTGTAATCAGCTGCTGCCATGTGGGAATGTGGGTCCAGTATTGTTAGGGTTTAAAAGAAGAACCAGAATTTGGATTTTTAAATAAAATCCCCCTATTTTTATTTTTCCCCTATTTTTATTTTTATTAAAGATTTTATTTATTTATTCGAGAGAGAGAGAGAGAGAGAGAGAGAGAGAGAGAGAGAAGCAGGCAGAGACACAGGAAGAGGGAGAACCAGGCTCCATGCAGGGAGCCTGATGAGGAACTCGATCCCGGGACTCCAGGATCACACCCTGGGCCAAAGACAGGCGCTAAACTGCTGAGCACCCAGGGATCCCCTAAAATTCCCCTAATTTCAAACATTGGAAACAAATTTATGTGAAAACAGCAACAATGAACCACTATAAGGAATAAACAAAGTCTGTGGTCTACCGTCCTTGGACCAGATGGACACAAACTGGGAAAAGACAAGAAGCCTGCTAACTATCCTTTCCTCAGGCCTCTGGCTTATATCTTCAAGCCCCTCAAAACATGACTGGCAGAGAGGATCTAATGCCCAACAGTAGCTCTGACAATCCTCAGTAAATACTGGGGGCTTTAGAGAAAGTCACTTTTAGGACAGGAGAAGGATGCTGGGTGTTTGGTCTGAATGATGATGTCGGAGAGGAGGGCTGTAAATGGCCTTCTTCCATCGAAGAGCTCAAGGTCCTCAGCTACCTCCTGTTCTGGGTGCTTGGCAGCAATGAGAAGGGAAGACCTGGGTTCGTGATGGGCCAAAAGAGGCATCAGCATTGTCTATTCCAAGGCACTTTAGTGGATTCTGGTGGATCTGCTTGCCAAACATCCACTCCTATCTTCTGGTACCATTGGAAAATTAACTGTCTTCCTTGGCTCCAGGAGTAGACACAGAAAATCTACTGGCTAAGGAAAGTCTTCACTGGATTCCTGCTGGAACTACTGGGGAAAGTAAGTTTTCCATTAGGATTGCTCGGATTATGCAACATCTGATGTTATTGGCTGCCACTTCTGCCACCTCACAGTGAGAGCCTGTCTCAGAATGAAGCTAACACAGATAAAAGCAGAGTCAAGAGATGAAAGGACAAAGAGGGAGACCTATTCACATCTGAAGACTTGGATCAAATCCAGCTAGCTTGAAGTCTCCTTACCCAACTTCTCAGTTATATGGACCAATAAATTCCTTTTTGGCTGAGGCTAGTCTGAGTTGTGTTTCTATCACTTGAATTGGAAGAGCTGTGATTGCTCCCATACAAAAACAGAATTCACCACTGCTCTGGTCTCCCTGCCTTTGAGGAAAGACACTAGAGGGGAACCCCAATGGCAAAAACTTTTCAAACAGTCCAACATTACTGCTGCCATATTTGGTCTCTAAGGGATCAAGTAACCTTCTTTGGAACCAACCCTGGAGGGCGGGAAATGAAGCCAAAATTCGCTAAGAGGTTCAAGGAAAAACTGCTCACTAGGCTCCCTTCCTTAGCTTCAAACAGCAAGAAGTGGCCCACAGATATGAGATGTCTTGGCAAGTCAGTTCTCCTCATTCAGAAACCAAGCTGTGGAGTCAGGTGTGGCTGAAACCTGGGCTCTCCTGGTGATACTTACTTGCTGTGTTGACCTTCCGGAAGTAACTCAGTTTCCTCCTCAGTGAAGCTTGTTGTAAAAATAAAATGATACAATGTATATAAAAATACCTACCATGATGCTTAGCATGCCTTCCTAAATCACCTATCTTGCCATATTCTAGACCCCATGTGAATAGCTTTCTATGGATGAGTTCATTTGAAATATGCTGTATTTCATGCATTTACATGAGATACACATATACTACACACATATCTACAGATGTACACACACAATATTATCATCATTTTACAGATGGAGAAACCGAGACACAGAAAAGGTCAAGTCACTTGTCTAAGACTACACAGAGCTGAGATTTTCAAGGCCAGACAATTTGGCTTTAGAACTCTTGCTTGTTCCTAAGAATGTTACAGCTTCCTCTAAGTTCCCTTCCACTGCCTAGAAAAGTTGGGCAAAAGGTACACCCTTTAATGTCAGTAACTCTGGATAAATAAGGGGGTCCTATCAGCCTTCCTACCCATTCCCAACCTTTCTACAGCACCCACCTAAGCCTTTGAGGAACTCCTACTTCATGAACAACAGAACAGGCTAGTTACCTAAGGTTAATTCACTATCCTGACCTAAGAACAGGAGAATGTCAGATGCCAAGGGAGCTCAACTTCTCTTTTGTAAAGACCAACTATTATTTTCAGAAACTCCTGAAATATGTACACAAAATATGCATACTATTGCCTCAGCCAAGAATGAGGCTTTTGTATGAACAGTCCTGGGGAACGGAGAGAGAGGAGGGAAGAAGCCAGGCAGGGCCTACTGGAGGTTAAGCCCAGCCTGGGAAGCTGTGGGAAACGCTGGATTAGAGAGGAAGCTGGTGTCCCTTGCCCCATGTATTACTCTTTCACTCATTCCACACTTAGATGTGTTGACTCTTCCTCATTAAAACCCCATCTTTAACTCTTTCCTTTCTCTATACTTGCATGCTCTCACTCGATAATGGAATCAGCTCCCACAGATTCAACTATCACCTTTCTGTGGACAACTCAGATTTTTTTTTAAGATTTTATTTATTTTTTCATGAGAGACACACACACGGGGGGGGGGGGGGGCAGAGATA